CATACTGAATGTGACCATAAATGGTTGTCTGTCTATGTGTCAGCACTGTGACGGTGTGGCGACATGTCCAGCCCCCCCACGACCCTGTATCAGGACAAGCTGTTACGGAAAATGAATGAATGAATAAAGCTATAAAGGATAAAAACGACTAAAATATGACTAAACTAATAAGCATTTATGTCTACAGGCTGAGACTAAATCTAAAATAGCTGTTAAATTAACACTGCGACCACACTCAGAATAAACATATAGGGCATTTTTCCATTTGACTTACAGCTGACGCAGCCTGAGGATGGTATGTGGGGTCACAGTGGTGCAGTCGCAGCAACTTCCCCTGCCACTGTTTGCATTTCTAGCCCAACCCTCTCTGGATGGAAATCATACACACAAAACACAGCTGTGTGTGTGTGGTAGTTTCCACTAAAAGAAACCAAGAGGAACTCAATGTCACTAAACTGTGCAGCAGCTTTAATAGTTGGTTGCATGGATTTCTTGACTTCCTCAGGAGGTGAACATACAGGCCTTTAGCTTTTTAATTGTGTATACATACATATATATATATATATATATATATGTATATACAGTATATATACATATATATATACACACACACACACACACACACACACACATATATATATATCCATGGACGTAACACCTGTGACATCCCTGCATGTCCTTGTTTAGTTATCCACCATGAATTATGTTAAGGTTCAATAATCAATCACAGTCACATCAGTGCCAAAAACACTGAATTATGTTTATACTGTATGTGTGTGTGTCTTTGTGCGTGGGTTTTTCCTTTTTTCTGTGTGTCCTTCTGGTCCAAATGCTTGTGGTATTTGTTAACCATGAGATCATGAGATTATTAAAATAATGGCCTTTTGGCATTCAGATAAATGGAAAAGTTTCATGTTGATTCTGTTAAATCATGACAGGGCTGCTGCAGATAGAGCCACAGCTTGTGCCAGAAGGAGGTTCCTCTGCCACTTTTCATCTTCGTCCTCAGCACTGATGGAGGACTGAGTCTGAAAGCAATGTCATAAATGAAGAGTAGCATTCACACAGCCTCCCTCCCTGATGAAATACAAAGTTGATTTTGCTGTTGATTGACCATGTAGAGCTAACCTCTACGTCAGTATCCCAAATAAACAAAGAACTAAACTGAAGACCCTCTAACCTCCTCAATAAATGTTGTCACATATGTCATTGTTTATTAGATATGGCATACAGAATGCTGCCTGTTTTACACAATCCAAATAAAGTTTCCAAAGAAAACAGCAATAGAGTCTTTGTATTATAACCTATGAAATGTTAATAGATGATATGTCGGCAAACAAATGCCTTCTACATCGAGCAGACACAGAGCACCTCTGCACTGTGGCCTTGAATCTCATTTAGACTTGTTCACACATGCAATACAAACAGCTTTCATGTTTTATTTATACCACAACCTGGCAAGATATCATCTCAGCACTGACTTTTCATGTCTTAAACTGTCTGGATCTCAATGAGTGTCTGCAGGTCCTATTACAGGCACACAAAACAAACTGTCGAGCTATTATAGTGTACAGGAGGGGGTTGTTTGGACATGACATTCTTATAATGGATTCCAATGACTTTTAGAGCAGCAGAAAGCAGAGACACAGTGGTGTATCTGTTCTGAAATCTTCAGACCAATAACGATCTGTGAATGTGCTTGAGCTGTGACAAACAGCTCAACAGGAGAGTAGACTAAAACCAGTCTCAGTCTGCATCTTCCACATGTAAACAAGACTAAGAGCCTCAAGAGTCTATGCTAGTAGCTCTGTGAGTCTTTTATTAAAGCAATACAAAAATGTTAAAACTTTGATACATATCGTCATCTTTAAGATACGCCCTTACTTTGAAATTCCCATGACACATCTGTGTCAACATTTCCATCCAAGCACACCTCTTTACTAAACATTCAGACATTCAGTGCTAGCAGCCTAGCGCCAGGCAAACAATGGCAAGCAGCCAAGAAAAAGACAATGAGGTGGTTTACTGACATTGGGCCTCATGCATGAAACAATATACAAATAATATTTTGTTTTTGTTCGTATTCACAATTTGCTCTTATTTTGTTAGTACCCACTGTTTTCTGGGATTCACTAGAGTTTTCTTATTTTTGCTCTTCTCTTAGGTAAGGGAACATTTTGAGTGGTCGAGTGAGCTCTTACCAAAATAAGAGAAGAACTCTGATTTCACAGTCCACAAATTGCTGTCTTACAAGTTTTAAATTTGAGGAACAAAAAGACAAAAAGGATGAATATCATCAAATCTAGATTATTATATTTTAGAGTAATTATAATAATTGGATTATTACATTTCAGGGCTGATGTAATACTACAAGAGTTGGTCCATTGATCCAAGTTTCTGTAATTTCAGTTACTGTGAGTCCCTCTGCTGACCACTGCTGGAATGTAACTAAGTACATTTACTCAAGTACTTTTACTTGTTTTTTTTAATTTCATGCCTCCATACCTCCACTCCACTGCACCTCTGAGGGAAATACTTTTTACTGTACTGCAGTTATTTAATGAAGCTCAGCGTAAGTTCAATTAGGAAGACTTTCTTTATGCTATATCCATTCACAATTCTCTCTCTATCCCACTTCCACCACCTCCACCAATCAGCTGATTATGGACGTTCCCTCTCCTAGTTAGCCAATCCAACTTTGCTACAATCTCCTTCAGCCATTCATGTTGCTGCTGCCAAACTATAAATCTGTTCTCCTCTCTGCTCCTGTCAGCTGTCATATTAGGCGGAATCATCCCTCCTCCACCCCATTCACCTCCAGTCACCATATCCAGAGCCCAGGACAAGCTCATCAAAACCCCACTCCTCCTCACATCCACTTCCTCAGCTCCCTCTTCATCTCATCACTACATTTACCACCACCAGCACCCTGCTGGAATATATGACATCATGATGGGGTCTAATTGCCAAAAGGCATTTACATTTCTCATACTTCTGTGCACATGTTAACATGACTGAAATAATTTTAGTTACCAGTTGCATTACAAATTTGAATCTGTGCACACAAACCAAATGATACTGTGTGAGTGCAGCTGGAATTATTAGGTGATTCATTAGAAAATGAATTGGAAACTTATTCATGCAAAATCATTTCATGGTTTCAGATTTGTATATGAGGATTTGTGGCATTTCCTTTTAATTTGTTTCATTTTTTTAATTAAATCTAATGAAACTTTTCTCTCATGAGTACTTTTACTTTTAATACTTAAATACATATTCCTGAGTAAGTAAATAACTGATCAGAATATTTCCTCCACCACTGCTGCTGACACGCAAAATGTTTTGCCATTGCTGGCTAGTTTACCACTACTTACACTCTAATCACATTTACTTTGTTTAAGTTTATTTAATAGTATGTTAATACTATTATTAATGAATGAACAGCGCTGTCACACATGATGTAGGAAAGATGTGCCTGGTTTCATTTCAAAAATGTGCTTAAAATTTTAATCTATAATAAACTTTATAACCTGAAAGAATATTCACTAAGTACCACTGCTTGACAAAAAGACTCGGCACTTACTACTTAGAATATACATTCTTTATTCTCTGGATGGTTTTTAAGATACAATCCTTGATTTAGTGCCCAATAACTGTGAACTGTGTAACGTCAAATGTCTAAGCACCACTGAGTGTTCAGACTTTCAAAACAATCTGACATCACCATCCTCAGACTAAACCTCCTGAAAGGATAACTAAGTATGAGCGTCTTAACATGACGTATAAGAGTATAATTGAATATTTGAACACATGCCAACTGTTGAGTAATCTCCAGCTCTGACTTAAACTGTCTCTTCTTTCCCCTCAGGGCCCAACAGTGCTGCTTCCTATTAGGCCCTTGATTTTTTTCCCCCCAGTGTGTGTGTGTGTGTGTGCGCATGTCAGGATCTTGGCAGTCCAGTGGGTTTTCCTGTAGGGGAACTCCCCATCGTTTTCTGTGCCCCCCCTGTCTCTCTCTCTATATATATATATATATATATATATATATATATATACTGGATGTGTGTTCTCAGTGGGTATGTATCGTACATGGTATCAGTGGTGGGGGAAGTATTTATATTCTTCACTCAAGTAAAAGTAGCAATACCACACTGTAAAAAATACTCCATTCCAGGTAAATGCTCTGCATTGTTACTTATCTAAAAGTATTATCAACAAAATATACTTAAAGATATAATTTGTTGATTTTAAACCAGGTTTGTATCATAACAAAATGTGTAGTATGTGTAATTTAATATGTTGAATTTCTCTCCATCTTGCTAGCACCCAGATCTTCCTGCTTATTTGACAACAAAATCTGCCAGATGACATTTTTCACATCATTTCATTGTTGGTGTGATTTTGTTGGCACCATTAAATGGCTGACTCTTGAATGTTAGCAGCTGCTCTTGTGCTTTCTTGTGCTAACTGAGCAGATGTTGGATTGACCAGACGACAGCAATACAAAGGCTGCTAATCCAGCAATGAGTCAGAATGGTCTGGGATCAGACCCCCAGCGCAGGATTTTGCGCTGGGGGTCTTTATTAGATAGGACAGGTTTAGCATGAAAGGAGGAGAGAGGGGTTATGACATGCAGCAAAGGGCTTTGGGATGGAACCCGTGGCTGCTACATCAAGGACACAGCCTTTGTATATTGGGCACCCATTCTACCAGGTGAGCTAATGGGTGCCCCACACTGGCACCAAAAGGATTGAAATCAGGTATTGTTTGACTGGAGATATTTCAATTCTGTTTGGTACTGGTTTATTTCAATTGATACCTTAACAGTTTCCAGTATGAAACCCAGCCCTGTTCACCAGGCTTTCTTGGTATTACTACATACCAGAAGTTGAAGTTACAGTGTTGGAATCACATTTAATTTCACAACTTGGGGTCTGAGGAAAAACGATTTGGTGCAAAATGCCGCAAGAGCCCTGCAGTACAAACACAGACAGTCTTACCTCTGATTGTGTGCTTGTTTGGACACAGGAACCATGGCAGCAGCAGCAGGTAGAGGAAGTGAACCAGTGACAGGATGTTGTAACGAAACAGACAAGCTGCAAAGATAGAAAGATCAGAGTCAAACAACAGCATGCATGTGCAGATAGAGATTCTAGCAGGTATGACATGTTGGCTGGGGGCCTTCCCTTATATACTCATAAACCTTGGTCTTGAGAGACATTTAATTGTGCTATAAAGCATTTGTGATCATACTATACAACATAAATGGGTCTGAAAACAAATAGGCTACTCCTCATCTATAAAATGCTAAATGATACAGCATGGACTTTATGACACCCAACAACTGACATATGTACTCTATGCAAAGAAACATTTGCTTGTAAAGCACATTAATAAAAACAAATTGCTTCACATTGCAAGTTAACGAAAAAGTAAATATCCACCAAAATGCAGAAGACACAGTAAAGCATCAATAAAAAATGTCAAAATGTGGGCGCCATTATTCATTAGCCTTCATTCCTGGACTTTTTTTTTTCAACTATGATTGATTTTCCTGTGTTTGTTGGCAGCTACTGTTGTCCTGTATATGACCTGTATCTGTTGTGATAAACATGGAGTCACCAGCCTCTTCTTTTTCCATGTAAAATACATACAACCCAATTGGCAAAAAAATGTTGGCATTGTAGGTTTATGCAAACCATGGACAGGTTACATTTTTGCATTATCATGTAGCAAATACATTGAAACTCATTGAAATCAGCGATGGACAGGCAGGCAAAAGTAACCAATCTCAGTCTAATCATTGGCACTATGCATCACACCTGTGCACACCCCTGGTGGTAAAAGCCCCACCTCCTGAGAACTGTAGTTTTTAAGTATTGAATGGAGTACTGTGAGGCATGAAAATGGAGACCATACTTGTTACACAGTCCTAAAATACAAAAAAGTGGTGGAACACAGTGAATACAGAAAAGCATATACAATAACTAAGCACCTTACGTATACTGTAGTTGACATGTGGTTAGGTTTAGGCACAAAAAACACTTGGTTATGGGTTAGGAAAAGATCATATTTTGGGTTAAAATACCCTGTTTTAGGACACAAAGCCACCTGACAACACAGCAATGTCTCAGTAAAAAATAACCACTTTCCATGGCACTATCTCCAGTGGAAAAACAGTGACAGGTTGCTACAAAACACCCATGTCTAGATGCCTAAAGAGCCACTTGTAATACAGCAACGTGTTGCTAAAACACAACCAAATTCTATTTCAGTGTCTTGAAGGTTCTGTCCGACAGTATCTTGTACTGTGTATTGTGTATCATGTTGGTTCAGCTTTTCATTGAAACTAGTGTGTTTTTTATGACTGGTTATATCGTGTAAGTCTTATTCTCCTGTTTCCCGTAACCATGACCTTAATCTTTCCCTAACATCAATCAAGTACTTCCTTTGCCAAAATCAATTAACTTTAAAAATGGCAAATCAGAAAACATTTCTATGAGTGTTTTAAGGGCAGTCATATTGATTGTTTTGAAAGACACTGACAAAGGAGCCTGTCTCAAAATTTTCTTAACCTCATACTCAAATTTCTCCTGACCAAACTCTAATTTAATACCTGATATAAGCAGAACATTAGCAGTGCAGCTGCTTCAGTGCTTTGTCATTGTTTACACAGGATACATTCAGGCACATTATTACATGTAGTTCACTCATGTTTTAGCAGTGCTCAGAACAATTCACGGTCAGTGTAGCTGGGTGTGTAAGATGTGTACCACAACATGAAGTTCTGTAGGTCTGACCAGTGCTTGGCAGCTCTGCGTGCTTTTATAATAATGACCTAAGGGAAACGTGTAATTTAAGACTTTCATACAGTGCCCCTGAGCATTGTTGAAATAATGTATTTTTGCATTATGGCACTGTCATCATTTCACCTCAGGGCGAGCCAACAGAGAGGGTTTAACTGTCTGATTGATGCAGAGTTCTCCAGCAAGGGAAAGTTTTACAGCTGTCTTTCTCCGGCACATATGGCACAACAAGAGGGATTTTATGAGGTGTTGCTGGCTTGGAAGAATTAAGACGATCTGCCAATATTAAAACCTGGAAATAAAGAAAATGTGCAGGCTCATTTCCTCCAGTTAAACACACGCAGTGATAATTATTAACTCACCAAGGGTTAAGGTCTGGATTAATCTCAGCCTGTTGAGATCACAGTTTGAGCATGGAGGTGAGAGGTTTACCATGCAGACTGAATTCACAGCATCATGTTCAACTTTGAATGGAACACCAGACACACAACTAGAGGACTTCACATGTAAAAACACACACACACACACACACACACACACACACACACACACATACAGGCAAAATCCCAAACATACTGGTAAGAGTGTTAATGTAACAATAAGATATCATGAATTGCTTCAACACAGTAAATGTGATGTGAAGGCCTCCATGTTGTTGCTGCATATATATATGATGTACAGCAGCATTGCCCCTGTGCTCATTTCACTGAAGTGACAAGGATTTCATGGTTGAATTGACAGCGAGCAAATATTGTTGATAGTAGATGAAATTCAGTCCAGAGCAAGATATCTGAACAGCAACTAGTCTGACTGTCATGTCACTTGCTGTGATATTCAATCTCCCCAGATCTTCCAAGATGTAACTACGCCTATACTCAGCATGTACCTTTCTTTTATTGTTACGCTTGATGTCAACCTCAGCCGGCCTGAAAAGAAAAATAAATAAAAAACCTTTGGGGAAGGCTGGGGAAGCTGCTCCGTGTAGGTGGAGTCTAATATTTGATCCTACTCCTAATTGCAGACTGCAGTCAGGAGTATAGCTATACACTTTATAATAACCATACTAAAAAATGGAAAATTGTTCATTAAAAAAGTAACATTAGTTAATAGTTATTTTACTATTAAAAATTAAGTGAAAATAATGTTTACTGATTATTAGTAAGAAGAAGATATACTTCATTTATAACTTTCATAACAAGGGGGAAATTCTTTTTTTTTTTCCACTCTGTTGTGAAATACGCACAAGTGCCAGGAGTAGTTGGTAAATCCAGTGCCTTGCTCAAGGGCACCTCAGCAGTGCCCAGGAGACGAACTGGCACCTCTCCAGGTACCAGTCCACACTCTATATTTGGTTGGGATGGGGACTTGAACCAGCAACCTTCCGGTTACCAAACCAAGTCCCTATAGACTGAGCTACTGCCACCCATAATATGTCATTTTAACAATTTATTGTTGCACACATTTATAACAACTTTATATAGCCTACTATATTAAATGGACATATTTGTTAGGTATCCCAAATGATGTGTAAATCTTTAAGAAATAATTGTAAAACATCTAAAATATTACGTTGATAGATTGATGAACCAGATATTTGTAACAGTGGTTTACTTGGTTTGTGAACTTCTGTAAACATTATTTGGGTGGCTTTTATACAGTGGCGACTGATGTTTATAATACCGTCTTAAATGGCTCAGTGGTTAATACTGTGCTTGTATCTATAAACATCATTTAAATGGCTGTTGTAAAGTTGCAACAGATGTTTATTATGCATTTTAAATTTATAATAAATGCTTTGTAAAGTATACATACATACATACATACATACATTATTATGATTTAAGTGACTTTTATAAGGTTGAAATGTTTATTGTTTTCATGTTTGTTATTTTTGGGCTTTGTCTCCTAGCTAAGAGATGGAAACATAGAGCACTGCCAATCACCCCCTCAGGTTTAGATAAAGTGAAATGTAAACTTTTAAAGTGCTTTAATGGACTTTTAAAGTAAACTGTGCCTCTAAAATACCCTTACCCCTGCATTCCGAATATAATATAAATAATTTATTTGAAAATAAAGTTGTTCTTGCTGACTGTTAACTTGTTTTTATAATCCCATCGTCCTCGTCTCTCACCATGTTTATCTGTGGTGCAGAGCTGCATGTTAACACTGACCTTCTGTTCATAAATGTGTTCAATATGATGAGCAGATGTTCTGCTATCATTGCAATAAACACTGTTTTATAGATGACTGATAAAAGATTAATAATGCCAAATTAATGTCACTTACAGTCATGCTTAATAAACTGCTTATTCAATAACTTATTATCATAAGCATTAGTTGCAAAACCCAAATAAACAAATGATTAACTGATGACAAGTGTTACAAATATCACGTCCAGCTACCTATGTAATCTTTACAGAACAATTTCTTAAAGGGTTTACATGTAATTTGATGATCATTAATAAATACTTAATATAGTATATAATGTTATGCGACAATGAACTGTAAAAAAACCCATAAATGATGGTATTACTAATAATTAGTAAACATAATTAATTATCTTTTCATTATTTGTTTACAGTAAAATAACTATTTACTAAACTGTATTAAATTCAATAGACATTTATTTAAATTACCATTTATTAATGACAGTTATTACAAAATTTTATCCACTAGCTTTGTGGGCTGTAATGAACATTGCAGGCCATAGCAGGGCTGTAGACTTTCACTTTTACATTTCTTTCACTAATTCTATTGAACAGTTTAGAACAAATTTAAAAGAAAGGTCAACATCAGTCACAAACTTATTCTATCCTCTTTTTATCTCCCTCTGTCTTTTTCTCTGTCTGAACTGCTTTATGACAGAGTTATTATATGACTGTACAATAACTGGAACACAGACAAAGACTAAAACACAGCGCTCTGTTATTTCCTCCAATCGCTAAAACATCAAACATATTGTCTTCCTGTCTGTCTGCAAGAATTAGACCACACCAGGGGGAGGCTGTAAAAGTCATGTCTCCTACCAGGCTGCATTTATCATAGTTTCATCCCTTTACCTTTTTGGCTTTGTCTTTCTCTGTTGCACGAGATGTCAAGGACATATGTTTGTCTTGTTGGGTGGTGAGGACTATAAATCAGGGATATGGGAGTCCCTGTACTTTTAACTGCTATTAGAACAGAACATGTAGACACAATAGACAGAAAGCAGTCATTGTTGAGTTTCCACCAGTGTCCTGATGAAATCATGAATTAAGACCAAAGGTTGTTCTGGTGTAATCTGTAGGACA